GCGGGAGCAGGGGCTGGGGCAGGGGCACGAGCACGACTTGGTCCGGCGCCTGTTTCGTCACCGGACTTCTTCCGGAAGGTGCTATCTTGGATGATCCAAATCTTCGTCATCTTCGTATCCGGGCCGGCGATGTGGATGTCGGAGGCACTGATGAGATCCATGACGAGGAAGGCGTATGGCAGGCTCCTTTCGGTGGCAATTGAAGCGCAATCCGCCATGTGGATCATGAAGTATTTCGCCCAATTGATCGAGGCGCCATGGGTGATTGCATGAACGGCCTTGAGGTCCTCGTTGAAGAGACACGTGTGGCTGCCGTCTCGGGGGCGAAGAATCCGGGTGAGGATGTAGAGTAGAAAGCGCTTCTCCGGCGGGGCTGAGTGAATGGTTGGTGCGCCGCTGTGACGGACGAGGTTGGTGGTTCCAAGCTCTCGGATGACCACCGCCTCGTTGTTGAGAATCCAATCATCGCCACCATAAGTCGCGATGTCGTCACCGCGAGTGGGCAAACCTGCGATCCGGGCAAAGGTGGCCAAATCAAACTCTAAGTCCAAGAGATTGATGCTGCTCCGGATGGTGTCCCCGTCTCGGCGGAGATTGGAGTAGATGGCCCGGACGTAGGCGGGATTGTAGGACTGACGGCTTCGGGAGACGAACGACCACAGACCCGACTCCTTGAGTTGGTTGTCAAGGTCGTAGTAACCCTTCTGTTGAGGGTATAGCTCGGGTAGCACCCTTGGCGGAGAGATGGGGCGCTTGGCGAAGTAGGTGATGAAGCGAGAGAGTTCCTCTTCCGACCCGAACTCCAAGAAGGAACTGTCGAGATATGGGAAGGGTTGAGGCGCAGATGACGTAGCCTCGGTGGCGGTCTTCTTCTTAGAGGCCTTGTTCTTGGACTTTCCTCCGGCCATGACAGCGTTTCTTACCAAAAAGTGATGGAAAGAGTGTAATTTGCTAAAGAAATGAGAAAGTGGTGTTGATTGTGTGTTAAAAATGTAAGGAATGATGTGAATATATAGGGAGAGGAAGATGGAACCGTGTGAATTCAAAAAATATGGCTGTTGGGCATTAAATTCGGTGCCCAACGGCCATAATTTTTGAATTTCAGCTGCCTTCCCATCGATGGTAAGGAAGTTCCCATCGATGGGAGGGTCGCTACTGGAAAGCGAGAAGAAAACAAGGCTGCCTTCCCATCGATGGTCAAACTCACCCATCGATGGGAGGGTGGCTACTGGAAAACCGTTAAAACGTTTTTAAAAAAAAGTGTCAAACACCCAGCGATGGGAGAGGGTTCCCATCGATGGGAGGGGAGGTTCTGGAAAGAGTGTTTTTGACAAAAGTCCTTCACCCAGCGATGGGATAGAATACCCATCGATGGGTTAGGGTGTTCTGGAAATCCGTTAAGTATTTTTAAAAAAAAAGAGTCAATTACCCATCGATGGGAAGAAGCACCCATCGATGGGAAGAGTGGTTCCGAAAAAAAAGAAAAACTTCCCTCCCAGCGATGGTATGGCCTACCCATCGCTGGTTCCCCCTGATTTCCAGAATTCCTCACTTCGAACCGTCCCTGCAAAAAAGAGTTAGAAAACCCTCCGACACTCAAGTTAGTAAAC